AGTCTAGGCTGAAGTGGCCTCAGAAGGAGGTGGGAAATGTGTTGGGAACTGGAGTAAAGGTCATTCTTGCTATGCTTCCACAAAGAGACTGATGGCTGTTTTCCCCTGCCCTAAAGTTCTGTGGAACTTTGAACTTGAGAGAGATGATTTAGGGTACCTGGCAGAAGAAATTTCTAAGCAAAGCATTCAAGTGAAGACAGCATAGAAGTTCAGAAAATTTGCAGCCTGACAATACAGAAGAAAAGGAAAACCCATTTTCTGGGGGAAAAATTGAAGCTGACTGCAGAAATTTGCTTAAGTAAAGAGGAATTAAATGCTAATCACCAAGATAATGGGGAAATGTCTCCAGGGCATCTCAGAGAACTTGGCAGCAGCCCCTCCCATCACAGACCCAGAGGCCTAGGAGGGAAAAATGGTTTCCTGGGCCAGGCCCAGGGTCCAGGGTCTCCCTGCTGTGTGCAGCCTCTGGACTTGGTGCCCTGAATCCTAGCTGCTACAGCCATGGCTAAAAGGGGCCAAGATATAGCTCATGCCATTGCTTCAGAAGATGCCAGCCCAGAGCCTTGGCAGTTTCCACATTGTGTTGGTCCTGCAGGTGCACAGTAGATAAGAACTGAGGTTTGGGGACCTCCACCTAGATTCAGAGGATGATGGAAATGCCTAGATATCTAGTCAGCAGTCTGCTGCAGGGGCAAAGCCCTCATGGAGAACTTCTGCTAGGGCAGTGCAGAAGGGAAATGTGGCGTCATGGCCCCCACACAGAGTCCTCAGTTGGGCACTGCCTAATGGAGCTCTGAAAAGAAAGCCACTGTCCTCCAGACCCCAGAATGGTAGATCCACCAACAGCTTGCACTATGCACCTGGAAAAGCCACAGACACTCAATGCCAGCTATGAAAGCAGGGAGGGGGGATGTACCCTGCAAAACCACAGGGACAGAGCTGCCTAAGGCGATGGAAGCCCACCTCTTGCATCAGTGTGCCCTGAATGTGAGACATGGAGTCAAAGATCATTTTGGAACTTTAAGGTTAAATTACTGCCCTGTTGGATTTTAGACTTGCTTGGGGCTTGTAACCCTTTTGTTTTGGCCAATTTCTCTCACTTGGAACAGGTGTATTTACCCAGTGCCTGTACCCTCATTGTCTCTTGGAAGGAACTAACCTGTGTTTGATTTTACCAGCACATGGGTGGAAGGAACTTGTTTGTCTCAGATGAGACTTTGGACTTGAACTTTTGAGTTAATGCCAGAATGACTTAAGACTTTGGGGAACTGGCCGGGCGCGGTGGCTCAAGCCTGTAATCCCAGCACTTTGGGAGGCCGAGACGGGCGAGACCATCCTGGCTAACACGGTGAAACCCCGTCTCTACTAAAAAATACAAAAAACTAGCCGGGCGAAGTGGCGGGTGCCTGTAGTCCCAGCTACTGGGGAGGCTGAGGCAGGAGAATGGCGTGAACCCGAGAGGAGGAGCTTGCAGTGAGCTGAGATCCGGCCACTGCACTCCAGCCTGGGTGACAGAGCAAGACTCCGTCTCAAAAAAAAAAAAGACTTTGGGGAACTGTTGGGAAGGTATAATTGTGCTTTGAAATGTGAGCACATGAGATTTGGGTTGGGCTGGGGCAGAATGATATGGTTTGACTGGGTCCCCACCCAAATCTCATCTTGAATTATAGTTTCCATAATCCCCATGTGTCATGGAGGGACTCAGTGAAAGGTAATTGAATCATGGGGCAGTCTCCTGCTGTTCTCATAATAGTGAGTGAGTTCTCACAAGATATGATGGTTGTACAAGAATCTGGCATTTCCCCTGCTAGCTCTCATTCTCTCTCCTGCCGTCCTGTGAAAAGCTGCCTTCCACCATGATTGTAAGTTTCCTGAGGTCTCCCCAGCGATGCAGAACTGCGAGTCAATTAAAACTCTTTTCTTTATAAATTACCAAGTCTCAGGTATTTCTTCATAGTAGCATGAGAACAGACTAATACGGAAAATATGAATTAAAAGCATGGATCTTTAAGACAAATTCACCCGGATTTGACACTCATTAAGACCCCTGAGAATGTGCCTTGACTTTTATAAGCATCAACTATTAAACTGGAATACTAATAAAAATAAAATAATAACAGTGGTCAACTTTCATTGAGTGCTTCCGTGTGTAGGCTCTGCTCTAAATGCTCTGTATATTAATCCTCACGCACCTATTAACCCAATTAATCCTCATCAGCCTATTAATCCTCACCATATCCTTATTAAGTATATGCCATTATTATTATTATCACCATTTTACAGATGAAGAAACTGGGATACGGAAAGTTTACTACGCCCAAGATCACAAAGCCAGTAAGTGGCACCTCAGGGATTCCAACCCAGATATTCAAGCTCTAGGGTTCACACATTTAACATTATTAGTTGTCAGACATAGTGACTCATGCCTGTAATCTCAGCACTTTGGGAGGCCAAGGTAGGAGGATTGCTTGAACTCAGGAGTTCCAAACCAGCCTAGGCAACATACAAAGATAAATAAGTTTAAAAGTCAGCCAGGCATGGTGGCACACACTAGTAGATCCAACTACTCAGGAGGCTTAGGTGGGAGGATCACTTGAGCCCAGGAGGTTGAGGCTGCAAAGAGCTATAAACACACCACTGCATTCCAGCTTGGGCAACAAAGCAAGACCCTGTCTCTAAACAAATAATACAATACATAAACAAACACTATTAGCTTCATTGCTTCCTCATATGGTTGTAACAAGAAAATATAATAATAAATTAAAAGACCAAGCATTTAGTACAGTGTCTGGTGCACAGAAAGTGCTCACAATAATCAACAAAAGAAAAAACAAAGTTTGAATCCTGATTTTTTTAATGGCACCAAATATTTCTTTTCTGTCCATTTATCTTTGTTTCTCTAATTTCTCCTTTTCTTGGACTCTCTTCCATTAAATTTTTGTTAGGACCCTTCCATCACTCTGACTTGTTGATATATTATCCTTTCCTTGTCCCTCATCCCCAATTGCCTTCTCCAACTTCTCCCATTGCTTCCTTTCAAATCTCATTTTTCTCAATTTCAAGATCATTGACAGATCAGCATGAGAAACAGCAGAGATAGTTTATTTTCATGATATTCCCTTCAGAATCTCACTAGAATAAATGTTTTTGTGGTATTTATGACAAAACACCCCAACCTACCTGCACATACACAATCAGAGTTTATCAGATCTCTCAATATGTAAATAGAGGCTCTTCAGTGATCAAAAGGGACCAAAAAAAAAGACCTCCTCCATGCTGTTCTGTCTTTGTGGCAGTGTGTGTGCTGACTACAGTCTGAGGCACAGGGCAAAACAGCAAGTTAATTAGATAAACCCTTTCTTTGACTCATTGGCAAGATCTTCTATTAGGGAAATCCACCCTGACAGAAGCCATGAAATCTTCACAATTTATGTTCTTCTGCCATGGCTTCAGCCGGTCCCTCCATTCGGGGTCCCTGACTTCCCGCAATAGTCTTCTCTTTCTTTTTAATCAGTAGTCTAAATGCTAACTTATTCGCCTTAACCTTTCCTCCCAAATGATAATCACTGAGCATAATGTGCGTATGCAAAATAGTCACAAGGAGACGTTCAATCAAGGTGCCTGACAACTACTCTGACTACTACGTTTTTCACAACTGCCAAGAAGTTGGCTAAGTGCAGCCTGGACTTCTTTCCCAGTGTAGAAGAATATTGCTTACAGAAACGTGAATGATTCCGGTGATTACTCATAAACGTCAGCAGATAGCACAGAGATGGCTCCACGATGGATGCACTTTGTCTCCTTAGGCAACCTTGAATTACCCTAAGTTACAGAAAAGTTACATCAATGCTGACTTTACACTTTTTGAAACTAAACAGAGTATGAATTAATTTAATTTACTTTAAGTTAGGTATTTGCCAATGAAGAAACATTCACAGGTGTTGTAAGTAAACCGGCAATTTAATATCTTCCAATGAGCAATCTTCTCAAGGTGGCGACATTTCCAGAATTTGCAGTAGTTCCATTTCTGTGGCAAGCAGCTGTTTGCTATGACTTGTGGACAGTGGTCAATTAATAAAAAGTTAGTCTATACATCAAGAGACTTTAATATACACATCTTACACTGAAATATAACCCCCAATTAAGAGTTTATACCTTATTTGCTCTTTTAGACATAACTCGTTTCAAGTGTCAAACAAATAACTTTGTTGTTGTTGTTGTTGTTGTTTGGTTTTTTTGTGTGTTTGTTTGTTTGTTTTCTGAGTTAAGCATCCAATCTCCTTTGTTAGGAATTTCTGGTTCAGGAGACTTGCATGAGGCCTCCTACTCTAGAGCCCTCAGAATCCCCCATTAACTGAGAATCCTAGTTTCCCCCCAGCCCTTTTGTTCAGAACCACCAGAGAAATGTTAGCTAGTGGGCACAGCTGTCAGCTGCCTTTCACAGGGCAAGCATGCGAGGGATGCCATTGATGGGAACAGGTACAGGGGAAGAGGATTTTCCTAGGATGGGAAGTGAGAGTGAGGAAAGTCAGAAGACAGAGAAGTCCCTGAGAATAAATATACAGGAAGGACAACCATGTAAACCACAAAATAGAGAAAGTAGAATGCATTTTGTTTTATCATAAAGCAGTGCTCCCAAACTTTCCATAGCATGGCACACCCCGAGGGTGGAGAACTAACATCTGAGCACACCTGGATGGTGGATGGGACCCACTTCTGGGTAACCTGATGAGGAAGCTCTAGTGTAGACATTCAGGATGCGGTCTTCAGAGCAGAGAGGGCCTGGTTCAAGTCCCTGTTCTGCCACTTACTAACTGCATGACCTTGTGCAAGCTACTTAATTTCTCTGCTCCTTCTCTGTGAAATGGGTACAATGTGGTCAGGAATAAAGGAACTAATGCATGTACAGCGCTCAGCACAAAGCCTGGCACACAGCAGGCTCTCACCAGGTGCTATCCTCAGCATGACTGCTTGGTTGAGCTACTGTGGCAGTGGCAGTTTGTGCCCCAAGGGGGTGGGCTCAGGAGCCCTTGCAGCAAGGGGCAGTAACCAAGGAGGCAGGGGGTAATAGCCTTATCTTTTCAGCCTCTCTGCCTTGGACCTTTGCTCCTATTGGGTCCCAAGTTAGGAAAACTAAGGACCAAACCAGGGACTGACAGGCTCCATTTGAAATGGAATCCTCTCCATCTCTGAGTGACCCTATACCTGACAATATCACTCCCCCAGTGTGGGAGTGATATTGTCCAGTGTTAGTAAAGCCCAGTGACAAACGCACTCCCCCACCCCAAGTTCTTCCACATCTCCCATGGTGGACAGCACAGCCAATCAGACAGTGTATTTATGGGCAGGGCTGGCTAAACAGGCTGGGTAAGAGTCCGGAACAGGGTCAGGATGATCTGGCTTCCCATTGACTGACAAAACAGAATCCTTCTCGCGTTGCTGTCTGATGTACTGGTTCAACAGGGTGGTCAGCTGCAGGGGCTGGTGCTGGAGCAGGGAGTGGGTCTGGGCGGTGAGGCGGATGAGGCCTACTACAAGCTCCCCCCGTGCCAGGGGCAGGCTGGGGAGATTGGAGTAGTTGATAATGCCCTGCCTGCTGAGGATGGTGTCACTGATGCAGCGACCTAGCAGCGGCAGGAATGACACAGTCCTTAAGATCCGGACCATCTCCTTGACCCTGGGTTCTTCACTGACCAGTAGCACATTGTGCCCCACAGAAAGGGGCAGCAGATTTTGGCACTTGGAATCCTCCAGGAAGGGCTTCGGTACCTGGTTGGGGAAGGCCTTCATCAGGATCTTGCGTTTCCGCAGCTGGTGTTGCATAAGAAGCTTGTCCTCTGCGCTCGGAGCCACCTTCTGGCAAACAGTTATCATTTGGTTGTCCTGGAAAACTGCTGCTACCTCCCGGTGGAGAAGCCTGATGAGGCCCCTCTCCTGAAATTGGAAAGCAATAACCAAGGGTACATCAGCTGTCACTTCTCCTGGCAACATTTCTCCCTCTGTGGTAAGTTCTAGGGCTACCAGTGATGCCTCCTGTTGGGGGCCGGGAGGAGATGGCAGACATGTTGGGTTGACGGCTGGTGTCTGGGGGATATATTCAGTCACAGCAATCAGCTTCTGTTGCCGAAAATGCATCACACGATGGTGACAGGTAACAGCCTTGGAGCCATAGCAGACAGTCTGGAGGGCAGGCAGCTGGCCCGCCTGGGGCAGGAGACCCCCTCGCAGCATCACCACCATAGCCGCAGCCATCTCCACCTCAAGAATGGACAGAACAGTAACTTTTTAAAAAGTAAATATTTAAGGGCCAGTAGGATCCACATATCTTCTATATGGATTTATCTAATGTCAATAATGTACATTTCTTTGCATCTTAGGAAGTAGTATTCTCATGCTGAATCCCAATAAGCCTCCATGGTAATCACATAAGTTATCAATAATTTCAATTCTATGGGGATTTTTTTTTTAGCTTAGTTAACTCAAATGTAAATCCTCATATTAAACATTCTCAAACACTTTGTTCTCTAGCTTTATCACTTGAAGAAGTTGTAACATGCTCTAAATTATAGTGAAATACAATTTGCTAAGAGTGGCATTTTTAGCACGACTTTTATAGAGCACTTGGTGCAGGAATCAAAATTATTAGCAGTGCCTTTTTTGCTTGTTTTAAGAGACTTCTCACTTTTGGCTGATGGCTACATCTCTAAATAGATTTTACACTCCCTGCTCAGAGATGGAAAAGCACATACAGCTCTCTTCACATTCAAATAACAATCTCTTCACTTATCACCACCAAGTCCAATACCCATCCCAGAACCTATCAAATTAATTACCAAAGCTTTTCTGCTCTCAGGTCCTCACAGATAAAGCATGCCTGTAAGAGCATTTTACACGTTTTATCCCACTATTCCACAGGATAGTCTTACATTCCAGATACCTAAATGGACTTAAAAGGTCCTCTCCTGTGATCCTGTGAATTAATCATAATGACTGCCCTGGGGAAAAAAGAGAGTCCTCAATAGGAGACATCCAAAAAGAACTGCTGCTTGGTAAAAGCTCCAGGTTAGGGATATGTCATCATTTAGCTATGGGGAGTTTAATTTATTAGAGTTCAAAAACAAGAAAGGGGTTATCCACAAAACCCCGTTCAAGATAGCAAAAATTTAAGAAGAAAGTCAGATCAAGGGACACACTAGCACCAAAGTTAAGCAGAGTCTTAGAAAGTAGCCAATATCTGAGGTCAGAAACCAGGTCATAAAGCAAGGGTATCAACAATGGGCACAGTGGAAAATCAGCTCAGAGAACACCTGCTTACCAGGTGTCATTCATTCCCACAGGTTTTTAAAAACCTACCATGGCCACAGTGTCTGGCAGGGAATATTCAGAGACTGTTAACAAAGTAGGCAGAAAACACAATTTTATTTTTTCTAAAGAAAGAATTTAAGTATTTACATATATGTGTTAATGGCACATATTAAAGAGAATAGCAAAAGAAAGCTGAGGAAAATTCAAAAGTAAGAACAAATCCATGAACAAATTCATGAATAATAAACAGAGTTGAGAAAACAGTCTGGGCCAAAGTTGAGGTGAAGGAAAACAATACTTAAAACATGTTCTTTATTGTTTAGTTGGCAAAAAGTAGACCCATTTCAGAAGAGGTAGAGAAGAAAAAAAAGTGTATTATTGGGAGGATGTGAAGGCACCGAATGAAAACGTAAAATGCTATTTTTGTTACTAAAACTAGTTGAAAGCAATTCATATGACTATACAGAATATTAAAACCTAACACACTGTAATAGCCTTGATTTTTAAGATTTGTTAGGCAGGCAAGTAAAGGTAAATATACATACAAAATAGAAGCCATTGAGCATTGAAAGAATACATAGTCATTGAACCTAGTTCTAAAATCCTAAGGTGAAAAATTGATTTTCACATATACATATCCAAATGTACTTGTTTTTAAACCTGAACTTGCTTTTAAATTATACAAGTAAACACTTTGCCACAAAAAGTCACTTGAAAGTACACAAAATACAGCCCTTTTGTCAGGATTTTTACAACCCACAGCATCGTTACAGGATGAATGTGGATGGATACCATGAAAATAATTTCTATCTTTGATTATTATACCCAGCTATGATTTTTACAAAAATGACTAAGGACTTTGTGCAATAGCTGATTAACTCTACTAAATTAGATAACTTGTTGTATTTACAATAATTTTAAGTCTCTGTGCATATCATAATTTGAATAGTTAACACCAAATCCCAAGATAATAGTCCATTTCCTATAAATAATTACACTAAATAAAATTACAAATTTTGGTAATGGCACTTCTTCTTAATCATAAACTATCTCCCTCATGTCCAGTTAATTCTATATTTCATTTAGTTACAAAACATATTAAGGGACTGTAAAAGAGAGTTTGTTGTGAAGTGCACTGATGATAGAATGTTTCAATAATGCAAAAAATAGAAGCTGAAACAAGTTTTAAGCTACCCTAAAATAAATAAGAAACTGTTTGACACAATTTTGTAAAAGTGCTAAAGACACCTGGCTAGCTTCCATGTAAATCAGTACTGGATAAATCTTGAAACATTCTACAGCTTATCCACAATACCTCTCCCTTTTATCTTTGTGAAAAAATTAGCCCTGCCAACTTGGCTATAAAAGACTAACTGGACTTTAAAGATGCTTCAGAACTCAAATATATTTCTAGTTCTTATAATACATAGTCTTAAAATAAACTCCACTTTCTTACTCTTGTGTGAGAGAATCTCTGGTCTTTTGTTTCAAAAGGCCTTTGAGCTAGCTAGAAGAAATCTTGTATCTAGGGAAAAAAGGATGATAATTACCATAAGGAAAACAACTGAAGGTATAAAACTCACTGCTATAGTAGATACACAAATGAGAAAAAGAAAAGAATCAAACTTTATCAATACAGAAACACACCAAACCACAAAAATAAACAACAAAAAGAAGAACAAAGTAACAAAGAATATTCAAAACAACCAGAAAAAAAAAAAAAACAACTAAAGAAACACTGCCTGCAAAAAACATACACCTGGAATGTCACACACAGACTTAAAGGGATGGGAAAAGATATTCTATGCAAATGTATACCAAAATCAAAGAGAAGTAGCTATATTTATATGAGATAAAATAGAGTTTAAGTCAGAAACTGTAGAAAAGAGACAAAGATCATTATATAATGATAAAAGGATGAATTCATCAAGACACTATAACAATTATAAATATATATGCCCCCAACGATGAAGCACCCAGACACATGAAGCAAATATTGATAGATCTAAAGGGGGAGATAGGCCTTAATATAATAATAGAAAGGGACTTCAACATTGCACTCTCATTATTAGAAAGGCCATCTGGACAGAAAATCAACAAAGAAACCCTAGATTTGAACTCCTCTATAGAACAAATGGACCTAACAGACATTTATGGAACATTTCATTCACTTCGGGCAGAATACACACTCCTCTCATCAGCACATAAAACATTCTCCAGGATAGACTATATGTAAGGCCAAAAGTCTCAACAAGTTTACAAAAATTAAATCATGTTAAGCAGTTTTTCTGGCCTCAAGGGAATAAAACTAAAAATCAATAACAAGAAGACCTTTAGAAACCACAAATACATGGAAATTAAACAACATGCTCCTGTATAGCCAATGTGCCATTTAAACTTTTTGAAACAAATAAAAATATGAATACAACATTCCTATGGGATATAGGAAACGCAGATAAGAGGGAAGTTTATAATACTAAATTTCTGTATCAAAAAAGTAGAAAACTTTTTAAAAACATCTTAATAATGTATCTCAAGGAATTAGAAAAGCAAGAACAAAACAAATCCAAAACTACTAGAAGGATAAAAATAATAAAGATAAGAGGAGAAATAAATAAAATTGAAATTAAATATATAATACAAAAGATCAACAAAATTAAAATTAGTTTTTTGAAAATTTAAGCAAAATTAAAATAGAGACTAAAAAATACTAAATAGGAAATGTAAAGCCAGTTTTGCTTTTAAAATCATTATTAACAATTTATTTTGTATCCCTCCATAAAGAATACATATACAAGCATACATAAGCAATATTTCCTTTCTTGTCTTCATTTTTTATAAACAAGTGATATTATACTGAATATGTTATTCTGTAACTTCCTTTCTTCACTCAATGAACGTTGCAACATAGCATCACAAAAATATATACCTAATTATCTTGAATACCTGCATGGTACTACATTACATGGACATTTCAAAATTGATTTTACCAGAGTAAAGTTAATTTTTTAAAAAATTAAGCAATATTGACAAATCATTCTCTAGACTAAAAAATAAGACAAGAACCAAATAAATAAAATCAGAAACAAAAAAGACATTACAACTGATGACACAATAATACAAAGGATTTTTAGAGACTATTATGAACAACTATACATCAAAAATTGGAAAATCTAGAGAAAATTAATAAATTCCTGGACACATGCAATACATCAAAATTAAATAAGAAAGAACGAGACTCCTGAACAGATCAATAACAAGTAATGAGGTTAAAGCAGTAATGAAGTCTTCCAACAAAGACCACGACTGGATGGCTTCTCTGCTGCTGAATTCTACCATATATTTTTTAAAGAACTAATGCTAATTCTCAAATTATTCCAAAAAATTGGAAGGAAGAGAATTCTTTCAAACTCATTTTAAAATGTCACTTTTACCCTGATACCAAGGTTAGACAAGGACGCTATAAGGAAACAAAATTACAGGACTAGATCTTTGATAAACATAGATGCAAAAATCCTCAAAACAACACTCAAACCAAATCCAACAGCACAATGAAAAGAACATTTACCCTGATAAAATGTGGTTCATCCCAGGGTTTCAAGTATAGTTCATCATAAACAAATCTATAAATATGATATATGCCATTAACAGAATAAAGGACAAAAGCCATATGATTATTTCAATAGCTGCAGAAAAGGATTTGACATAATTCAACATTTTTATAATGAAAATTCTCAAAAAAATAAGTATAGAAGGGGTATACCTGAACCAAATGGACACTATACATGACAAACATCCAATTTATATAGCACTTCATGAGAAAAAGTTGAAACTTTTTCTAATATCTAGAAAAGAGAAGGATGCTAATTCTTGCCTCTTCTATTCAACATACCAGAAGTCCTGACCGGAAGTGTTAGGTAAGAGAAATTAAGAAAAGGCCTACAATTTGGAAA